ACTGTCGCTACAAATGTGCAGAAGTAACATTCAAGAAAGGTAGAATTACAGAAACACCCTCAAAAGGTCTAGTTTTATCACAAAGATTAGGGAACTGGAACAAGAAGAAGCCTATAAATGCTTAGGAGTCAGCGAAGGAGATGGAATACAGTATAGCCAAATGGAGGAGAAATTAAGAAAAGAATACTACAGGCGTGTGCGTCTGGTGTTAAAGACCAAATTTAATTCACAAAACAGAATATCAGCCATAAACACTTTGGTTGTCCCTGTGGTGCAATACAGTTTCAACATCCTTAATTGAACCATAACTGACATTAAGCGAATAGATGTCAAAACGAGAAAGCTTTCCACTTGCCACCGCATGCATGATCCTAAGGCCGGTGTTGATCGTCTGTCTGTTGTAGAATCTAGTTTCTACATTTAGTGTTCATAACCCATTAAAAGTGGATTATAGCGAAAATCTGTGCAACTTACGAAAATAACCCATTAAAACCGGCTCTGCAGATAATTTTTTGAGAACGTTTTGTGATTAGTCGATAAACGTAAAATTCTTATTTATGTGTGTTTTCAACTACGTACACGCGCATTACTCTGGCTCGTGACTGAGTTTGATACAATTTTGGCGCCATTTGGAGCCTAACACGTGATCCACAAATCAATAAATTTTGCCAATGAGCAGTGACCAACAATCATTTCGCTAAAGAAATCCACGTCACTCATTTTTTCAAGCTTTAAGTTGAATTATTAACATTCCCCAGTCTGTGAAAAGGCGTTCACTCACTCACACAGCAAACATCATCTATTCTTGCCAGTGAGTTCTTTGAAGTTTTATCCGTTTCAAAACTTGATATAACGGAACATAATTTCATAATTTAAAGTTCATCTCGAGCAATCCGACATTTTCATCTACACCGAAAATATACGATGAAAGAGAGACAACTTATCACTAAATTGAACACTTAATTACACAAAAAATTCAATATTCGACAAACTGTTTAATTTTTATACATACTAAAAATTACTCTCTCAAACTTGACAAATTTCATTCACAATATTTTTCAATACATAATCTTTCCCATTAAGCTTGCATTAACATTTCAAACCAACTCGGAAAGAACATTGTATTAAATTGAACACTAAAACACCAAAAACAGTTTTGTGTATAAATTCAACACAATTGTGTATCACCATTGTGTCTTATATAAAAGAAATATCTATTTTATTATTGTACTGAACTGTTGCTTTCGTTATTACTCTTGTTGTTCGTTTTCTTTTGTCACATTTGTTGAAGTAAAAAAGTAGAGGGTTATTTGTGGTGTCATTAACCTCAACAATGTACCCAGGTCTGAAGGAGGCAGAGGATTAGTTCAACTAGAACTGTCTTAGAAAACCACAACAACTGGTCTTCAAAGATACCTTGTTGCGGGGCCGATAAGGATGTCGCCCCCACAAGCTTTACGAAGAAAGGTGTGAACAGCTAAGACAATGAGGGGACAAAGGCAAACGTTTAAGAAACAATAACGTCGATTTTATTTATCCAAAATGTACAAGAGTGTACTCTGGAGAAATATGTTTGTATCGTTGTCGGGTCCGGTATGACTGGTTTTGTTTAGGGGAAGTTGATTTCGGTCGTATCGGCGAAACGAATGTAAAGTTGAAAGTCGGCGGTAGCTGGTCGACTGCCAGACGGGAGAATGGTCAGGAACAGCAGCAGGTTGATCGATGATCCAGGCCCCCAGGCCGAGCAGCTCGGATTTGGACGAAAATAGGGGCTGACAATATGTGGAGCGATGTATTCAAGTACTCCCTGGCTAGAGGGAGTAGAAAACCGTAGATATTAAATTAATCTCAATGTTGTTCGATGTTTGAAATAGCGCTGACTAATCCGATGCTCAAGAGGTACGGTTTAGACTCAACCATATTGAACTAGTCGTCCGGTTTCTCGCATGTTGCTTGACTTAAATCTGCGAGGTCAGGGGTTGTGAAGGTCAAAGTCGTTTTTCTAAGGAGCGGCTAATGGCGGCCGCGACAACTTTGAAACTATAGAAGACTAGGTGATGATCTGTGTCAAAGAACATAAAAGAAATAAGACATTTTATTCAGTAATAAAGGAAGCCAACAAATTCAAAAGGGAATTTCAAGTGTTCGAAGAAGAACAAGTAAACCATAATGCACCTACTGCAGCGACAAAGGAAGCAAGAGCAAATGCAGTGTAAATGCAGAAACGATGGTAAGATAAGCCTTGTCGTGTTTCTTACACTAAACCGGATGTTGACTGCTCGACGCCCCAAGGCAGAATGCGAAAACGCGTCTCTGCGCATCATGGCTCGACGCATGTTTTCGGTATTAAATGATAAAATGAACTTTATATATTGAGCAATAGAAATAATTTCCGCTAAAAGACACAGACTGTGATTTGGAGCCGATACGACGGATATAAATTCCTTGATTCAATGCCGCAGTAGACAGAGAGGGAGAGAGAACCGGCTGAGATGTCGACACGCAGAGGCTGGTCAAGAACGCCGCAGTCAGACTGAGACTGAAAGCGATATCTTTCAACTTTTATCCTTTGCCGCCACCGTCTTCACAAAACATCAGCCGACAGCCATGACCAACATTCTTTCACTTTCTTTCCTTCTTCCTCACTTTGTCGCCTTTTACAACAGCAACGAGTAGTATGCTGGCTTTGTAGATATGTAATTATATTATACATTTATTTACCCAAAATACGATTTATTCCTTTTTCTCGAATTTACGTTTGCTGAGGCGAAGAAGAAATTAACCTCTTCAGCAGAAACAACAACAGCGACAAATCCTGCCTTCCAGGTTACTCATTCTTCGTTTCCGCAACAGCCTCTTCAGTCTTCATGGTCAATCAAGTCAATACTCTGCCCATACCAAACAAGCTGATGTACGTATGTAATATAATATGTTACTAACTGCGTGCGCATTAATACACACCAATTTACTTATATATTGTATCCGGCTTCTATCATCTGAATATGTATGTAGAATTCCCCCCTCATCTATGTCTTTGTTATTCCTTATCCAATAATACTTCAAAGTAGTGCAGAAAAGCTGAAACCGAAGGTTTTTATTCTTGCTACACGTGATTCGTCCCTGCTGAATATATTTTCCCTAGGCGATTGAAATTTCCCACACACACATACAGACACGTGTATTACATACACACACATACAACGGCCAAGTACACACACCCACAAACTGTTTCCAAAAATCGTAAATTTTGTAAAAATACATTGTTAACAATGAAAGGTTCGTTTATTTGCGAAAACTTTGTTTACCACTGCTTTTAGAACTGACATCAGCAGTTCGAAACATACTCTCTAAAAAGTAACCCTAAATAAACTATATCAATATAAAAATTGTCTGCGCTTTGTTATAAAATAAAATAAGACATATCTCGGCTGATTTACAGGCAAATACTCAAGAGCGAGAGCCGGATGTGAACGGGACAAAGCCCCGTCACAAAATGACCATTATCTTCGTTTACAAATGTTCCCGACACACGAGTTCCGGTCGAAAAATAAAATAATAATTAAAGTGTTCTATTTTTCGTCCAATAAAAATGCTTCCCTCCTAATTATACTCGCTTCGTTTTTCGAGCCTGTTAAGCCATAAAAAAACGCTATAAAAGGGGTCACACGGAAGTTCAACAGGTGGCCAGGCCGAGCGGTCAGCAGCTGACAGCAGGAGAGCATCAACTACCGTCAACATATGTGAACTACTATGAGAGATCGACCTAGATCCGAAGCCGGCTTATGAACTATACCACAAGGTAGCTGTCCCAAACCCTCACGTTCCTGTTGAAATAAACCACGTAAACCTATTTCTGCTGTTGTCGTATTTCTTTCTTGCAACCATACGCTTGTCTATAACAGCTTACTACCCACACACACATACATATTACAATACACTTCTCCAACAGCTCTTTGATGGTGAAAAGTAAAAATGTGTCTTTTCCCTTGCTGGCTGTCTAGTGTCTCATTACTTTGACGTCAAGACCATACCGAACTTCGCATCACTTCTTCTCCTCTTGTTTTTTTTTTTCAGGGAACAACAATCCATTTCTCACCATAAGTAGGAACAATTTCTGTCCTTCGTTCAAGGAATATTTCTATGTTCAGTTTTTTGTGTACAATTACATCACATAGACAATTATCGCAGTCACATAATATCTCAAATTACATTGTTTTTGTTTTTGTACAGAGGAGAAATTCGTTTATTACACCTGATGACATCTACTTCCACAAAAATATTTTTCATATGTTGCGAACTATATAAGCTTTATGGGACCCGATATAACAAAGAGAATAAAATTATGGATCATTAAAACAATGTAGACAATATAGACATACTGAGGCATATAAATGGTTTCTTTGCACTTGCCTTATGTACAGTTGAGTGGAGCATAAAAAAATAATACAAATTTTAAAAACGAAAAAATAATCTAATTAAATTAATATTCCATCAGCATTTTATAAGTTTTATTCACTGTTTTAATGTCCTTCGATACTAGAAACGTAATGTTGATTCTCTTGAGTTTATGATCTAAAATTACCTTACGTTTCACATGTTAAAGAACCATTAATTTCTAAAAAAATAAATGTAAAAAGATAATTCACGTTTCTATCGGCTGCTACAGGAAGTAAAGTGCGCATGCTCACTTTCTGACCCACATTGGTTGACGGAAGTAAATTATGCGCAGGCGCATCGCTGTTTGGTGGTCAAGCACGCTATTATGGCGGTGTGAGTTTATTGTTTTCTACACCATCGCGGCTTTGAAGTCCGAGGTTATGAACATTTTCCAGATGAATGACAACAACCTACTTCTCAACAGTAGCTCTTGACATTCATAGAAAAAAAAAACTCCCTGAAAAAAAAAAAGTTATTTTTGTTTATCCTCGATGTGTTTACAGCTGACCGCCGAGGAAGCTTGCTACGACATCGGCTCTATTATTTTTTGATGACCACCAAAAATGCCCGCCACTTGCTGTGTGATCGGTTGTAATAATCGACATTCTTCCAGCAAAAAACTCAGGTAAATCTGTTCACAAATCTTTTTCATTTTTATGCAGGTGACAGAAAAAATGTTTTCCTTATTGTATTGAGATGTATTTTGTGAGAAATAAACTCAGATTTCGATACACGTCGTTTTAAGGAGGACAACAATAATAAATCAATTTGTTGATGTGTCTCTTTTTGTGTGTGTGTGTGGGGGGGGGGGCTTCGAGCTAAAAAAATAATATTAAAAAAAATATGATATTTCTTTGAGCGATGAAAAAACACATCCGTTCACTCCAACATCATTAATGATAATAAACGTGAAATTAAAATTGATAAGTTTTGTTTACAGAAAAAGTTTGTTTTTGTTGAAAAGTGCAGAGGAAGACTTTTTTTTTATTTTGATTAATAAACTTTGTCAATGAAATGCATTGTTTCAATTTATCTTTTTTTTTTTTTCCAATTCCCATCAGTCTTTGCAAAACTTTACTTTCCTTCTGTTAATGTATTTTTTTTTATCTCTATCCAAGTCAAATAATTGTCAAAAAGTCAATTTTCTTCCTAAAATCGATCGATGCAAAAATGAAAAAATTATTAGTTTTTAAAGTTTAAAATTTAAATTAAAACTCTTACTAAACAGACATTAAGTTATTTCAATTAAAAAATGTTGGACTGATTATTTTTCTTCGCCGTTTTTAAATGTTGATAGTTTTTTTGTAAAAGTTATATACACTCGATGACATTTTCTTATTTAAGTTCACATCTCTTATTCGGAAGTCTTTAAATATTGAAACTTACAAACAATGATGTTAATTGACGAACTAACCAGATTTCTTTAAAAATGTAAAACGGATTATTTTTCTTTATTTCTAATCTGGTTTCGCCACTCAAATAAAATAATTTAAAAACAAAAAAAATTCATTTGTTTTTCCTACATGTTTTTTCGTTCATGATGAATTTTCATCTCTAATTTTTTCGTTTTGACATTTTGTAAAATATTTTTCTTATATTTTGTAGAATGCCTATTAAATTAAAAAGCTTGAATAGATTTTTTTTCAGTTTTTGTTTGTTTATTTCACCCGCAGAGAAGAAAAAGCAAAAATACCAAAAGAGGAATCAAATGGCCAAGAATAAGATAAAGATGAAGCAATTTAAATTGGATTTGTCTCCATCTTTTTTAATCACTTCAATCAAATCAAATTTTAAATTTCATAAACTTTTTTTCAGCTTGACATAAAATCGCAAAGTTTATTTATTTCTCTCTGCTCATATAGCTAATTAAAAAGAACAATTTTACGATGAATAAAACCCGTTTCTTAAAAGTAGGTACCTCCGCAGAAAACTCGATACCTAAGGTTTAAAATGATTTTTCAAATAAAAAATCTTTCTTCAATCTTTTATTTTAGTTTTAATTTCAAGGTAATAGATTAAATTTAATATTTCCAATGAGCAAAATTCTTTGCTATATATCAAAACTAATTTAAATTGACTGGAAAGAATTTTTTCTTTTGCTAAAATAGGTGATTAGTGCTATTCTGACCATTCTTGAATTGCAATGTAATTCCCTTCCAGAAATAAAATATACTTTTCTGAAACTTTGAGAAATATTAACTGATTTAAAGTAATCTGATTTGCAAAAACTATTATTTACTTTAAGTTGAAAATATCACAGAAACGCATTTTTTAACATGGAAGTTGTTTATTTAAGCTTTTGACAGCTTCATAACAGATGGACGTTTTTAATGTTGTTCTACTTCATTTGTAAAAAACAAAACAAAATAAAACAAAATTGAAGAATGACATGAGCGTCTTTTTATCTACTTTTTAAGTACTCTTTTTTTAATCTTAAAAAGACAGGAAAATATTTTCCGTAATCTGCTTTATTGAATTTTTGATACTTTGGCTTTAGTTTTTAAATGTAGTAATTTTTTCTGATAATGTTGCGTATCATCATCCATATCGATAAAAATCAGCATTAAAAATTCTTTTTAAATATTGGTGTTTGATGAATTGTACTAAGCTTTTCAAATTATGATTAGTAAATAAATAATTTTTTTACTTAGTAAAAGGGTGAAATTAATAGTTAAAATTTTTTGCCTCAGTTTTATTGCAGATAATTAAAAAAAAAAATAAAGTTTTTATATATATATATATATATATATATATATATATATATATGTGTGTGTGTGTGTGTGCAAAATACGTAAAAAATGAATAAATTTCTTTTCCTTAATGCTTTGAACACGAATGAACACTCCAGTCGTTTTTTTTTTTCGTTTAAAATAAGGAAAGATGTTTTTGATAAAATATTATGCAAGCTTTTATAATCTTTTTTTTTTTTTTTCCTTTCTTAAATAAATATCTTTTCATAAGATGGAATTTCATTATTTCTATGGAATCTTTTAGTTTTAACTAAAATTAATGAGGATTTGGTTACTTTCTGATAGGAAATGAATAATTAACTTCTTTTGATATGAAAAGTCCTACATCAGAAATGAAATAAAATTGAAAAATAACCTGAATGCAATATTTATCCCTATTATAACAATTACTTAATCCTCATGAAAACAATAGATTTTTATTGAATTTTCAAACCCAGGACATACTTCGTTTCACTTTTCTAATATTTTCGTAGTATGAGACTAGGTAATATTTAAAAATTCAAAATCTTATTGGCCAGAGATGTGAAGCAAGGGAGGTAATTTAGTATTCAGCACGTGAAAAGCTTTGGGAGCCGTAAAATGGAAGATAAATATTACATGGGGACACCTATTCAGTACAACACGTGGATTAAGCCCTTTCACCCCCACCATCATAAAAAAAATCTCCTTATCTGCAGTATTTAATGGAATGGTCTAGTGGATAGTCACTAGTTTTTGTTTCAATCATAAGCTCATTTCCTGTTTTAGAGAATGAGGAAACCCTGGCAGTGTAGAAGAGTAATTTCCCTGCACAAATCTCAATTAAAAAATGCTGGCTGTGATGAAAAGGATAAAAAATATGGCTGAAATTGAACAAAATTCCATGTTTAAAATTCCTTGAAGAACAGTCTACTCTAGCTGAAACATTGATAAAAATAACAAAGATCAATGTTAAATATTGTTGAATACCAATTCTCTTGTCTTGGAAATTACAAAAGAAAATATTGACTCAATACAAAAAATGACACAATTCATGAAGGAGTGTTTAATTTCTCACTTTTCTATAACAACCAAATTCTTGCTGCTTTAGAACTGATTCCCATAAAAAATCAACTTCATCTGATGAAGATGAAGCTGGCCATTTGGAATATTTTCTTGAAGACTTACAAAAAGTTTGAAATGAATTCCTCCCAAAGTTTCCAGAATGTAGCAAAAACATTTTATGTAAATTTTAATGCAATATGATTAAATGTAAAAATTGTATTTTAATTAATTAAGAAACTACCATTGATTGCTAAAAATCCCAGTATTCACCCTCAATAGAGAAAGGTGAATCTTTTGCCAAGAATATCTTGTGTCCATTAAAAAAAACTCCTATCTGTTCAGCAAAATAATGTTTAAGACATGGCTGGATAATCAAATATAATTTTATTGCTAATTCAACTCCAGTATATTTTGATTTGTTAACAGGGAAGAGGCTTCGAGATCAGAGGCTAAATCTGCAAGGATTAGAAACCCCTATACTTGGTAATATCATGAGGTACTGCTGGGGTGCATAACTTTTGGTGGAACTTTCAGCTCCAGAACTATCACTGTCCCCAGGAACATCAGCTAATTAAAGTTTTAAAAGTGCTACTGCTATTTTCATGGCATGACTAAATCTGTAAAGGGAGACAAATTTGATGTTTGTTTAGATGTCATACACCAAAGTTATATTTTGAAAATCTGGCTATGTAAATTTCCTGCATTGTAAGTTTGTATAAATTATGCTTGCCCCCATTAAACCCAAGCACTAACAGATTCCTTTACAATCTCTACTTCTTTTACCTGCCATGTTCTTTCAGAACATGGGCGATCATAGTTCTCCATAACTTCCTGTATTTCCTTACTCTAAATAATTTAACCTCCTTTTGTCACTTTTCTGCCATACATTCAGTAAAACTTGATGTAGGTTACTGCTTCTCTTGTATTCACTATGTCATGTGAGTATTTAATTTTCTAGGCCCTCTTTTCTCATTTTTTTCCTTGTTTTTTTCATTTATTTCTATAAAATAAAGTGTACTATGAAGATGTGGTTGGTTGGTTGGGTTTTATGGCATATCAACCACTGTAGGTCATTTAATGCCAAATTTAGTTTATATATATATATTAAACATATAGGACTTGTAAACATCTATAAGCTATATAAGCTAGAGCTTATTTGCTTGCACACTGCAAAATAATTCCAGGTATTACTGTCTAGGACAAGGATTTCCATTTAGTATAGACAATTTGCACAATGTTAAAAGGTAGCATGTATTTGCATGTTATATATATATATATATATATATATATATATATATATATATATGTGTGTATATGTATGTATATGTGTATATATATATGTGTATATGTATGTGTGTATTCTTAGCTGTGTGTGTAGGGGTGTGTATATAGGTATGTGTATGTGTGTGAGTGTATATATGTGTATGTGTGTGAGTGTATATATGTGTGTGTGTATATGGATATGTATATATGTGTGTATGGATGTATATATATGTGTGTGTGTGCACACACGCATATACATGTATATGTGTGTGTATATATATATATGTGTGTGTATGTGTATTGGTATGTGTGGATATATGTGTATGTATGTGTGGATATATGTGTGTGTATATATATATATGTGTGTGTATGTGTATTGGTATGTGTGGATATATGTGTATGTATGTGTGGATATATGTGTGTATGTATATATATATATATGTGTGTGTATGTGTATTGGTATGTGTGGATATATGTGTATGTATGTGTGGATATATGTGTGTATGTATATATATATATATGTGTGTGTATGTGTATTGGTATGTGTGGATATATGTGTATGTATGTGTGGATATATGTGTGTATGTAT